TTTTTAAACATTTTTCTTTTTTTTTTTATATATTTATTTTTATTTTTTAATATATTTTTTTAATTAAAGTGTAGCTGAAAGTGGACAACTTAATGTGTTGTAGGCTACTTGCAGTCGCTGCTCCGTTTGCCAACAGCTAAAACTTAACCAGCAAAGTAAACAACAACAGGAACATTAACGGCTACATCAGGAACAGCAGCCAACACAAAGGCTCAAAGACAACGGAGGAGCAGCAGCAGCAGCAACAAAAGCTGCAGCAGCAGCAACACCAACAGCTTTAAAGGCCAAAAACCAATAACAGGCGGAAAAGTGAAAACGGCAGCAACAATAACAAAGGAAAAGCAGTCCGCACAAAGCAACAACAAACAGTATTTTGTAAGTAACAGTATGGCAAGCAACAACAACAACAGCAACGCCAACAAACAATAAAAGCCAGAATAACAGCAGCAACATTGAAGCTTAAAGTGAAATCTGTAAAATAAAATTCATGTAAATTTTTGAAATGTAGAATTTACTAGATATTTATTATTATTTAAAAAAAACCTAAATTTGTAATAAAAAAAATATAAGTAAATAAAAATATGAAAGGATATTTATAAAAATACAAATTTTAAATAAAATTAGTTTATAAATAACTTAAAATTTATTAATAACAAGAAAGAAAACTAATTATGAAAAGCCGAAATTTGTATATTTGGCATCAAAAATTCATCATAACTAAGCCAAAAAAGCAACAAATTAAATTCGGAAAGCTTTTCTATACTAGTTTTTAGTAGGTTAACAAATCTGCAAACTAAATTTAATTTTTTAGGAAATCAAAATTTCGGTCGATTTTTGAGAATTTTAATGAGTAACCCCTTATTAAATTTTGAAAAAAATTCAAAAAATTTAATTACTTCCAAACATGACCAGAAAGATTCTCCTGTTAATGCTGATCAAGAATATATATGATTTATAGGGTCGGAAATGACTGCTTCACGGCTTTGCAAGCTTCTGAACAAAATATGATACCCTGTAAGAGTTTAAAAATCAATAAAAATAAATATTAATATATAAATACCTTAAAGATTAAATATATAAAATATTTTCAACTCATTACCGATATTTAATATGGATTTTAAAAGTATACTTAACCTTTTTGTATCAAGGTTAATGACATAAACAATAAATAAAGAATTATGATAACTGATCGATTGATAAATTAATCAACAAAAAAATTGCAACACAATTACTTGGCCACCGATATAGGTTTATTGAACTTTAATTTTTAATTGAACAAAAAGTTTACAATTTAAGCTGATTTCAGAATCAATTTTCCAGCATTCTTTATTTAGAGATCAAGCCAGCTTTCTCTAAGCGGCTTAAATGTGTTTAGTTTATAAGTTTAAAAAACAGTTTCTAGAAAGTTAAACCAGTTTTCCTTAGTGTAATAATTCAAACCTATTTAGAGCTTAGTACGCGACTAGAATTTATCATTAGTTTACTTGGTCTACGTTGGCTATGTTATATACTATATAGATTAACAATTGTAATCGCTATTGTTATTGTTATTATTGTAGTTTTGTTGATTTTGCCAAGCGAAACGAAACGCAACGAACAAAAAAACACAAAAACACAAAAACAAAAGCTAACAGCAACGTCAACCGCCACAACTCTCGGGGTGTTGATGTGTTTTCAAAAACATTGCGTCATTTCCAGATGGCAAGCTTTATGCCAATCGTCGGTCGTTTGTTGTCTCGCCCCCTGTTTGCGGCGCCCCTGATCGGTGGAGAGACCCAGTGGCAGACGATCGAAGCACGTTGGATTCGTGGAAAAACTGGGCAAATTCTACGAACTGAAACTTGGAGGATGTCGACGGCCATATCGGAAGGCAAATAGTATCATCGGTGTGGATATATGGGATGAGTATATGTACATATATATATGTATATATTGTACGATGTAGAAATCGTTGTGTTTGGGTTGTGTGGGGGAACAAAGGATTGCATCGATTAATTATCAAAGAAATCTATAAAATATATATCTTGATTTAATTTTAATTTAATAAAATTAATTAATAAAACTATCTCAACAAATAATGCATTTTTCATTTGTAGTGATAGTTTCTCTAAGGTAAATGAATTTACTTACCAAGTTAAGAATGTTAAAAATTTGATTTTTTGTTTAAATTTTTTTGAAAGATTTAATGGTTTGTGTTTTCTATATTTATCAATATTTTTATCAAAATTTTTTAGGCCTATTAAAGTTTAAAAATATTATAACTAAGCCAAAAATGCATGTATTTGAATTCGAAAAGTTGTTAGTTAGTTTTTAAAAAAGTTAATAAATCAAGATACTGAATTAAATTTTATTTTAAACTAAAATGTTTGTAAATTTTTACAATTTTAACGATGTTACTTACCCCTTTATAAAATTTAAAAAAATGAGTAATGTAATATAAAAGTAAAATAAAAAGTTGTTCGGCTTAACAAGTCTAAATCTACTCGGCTGTTGGTGCTGATCATAAATATATATACTTTATAAGGTCAGAAATGGTTCGTTCCATCATTGCGTTCCAACTATGATTTATAAATTTTTTATATATATAAATATATTCTTTAAAATCTTAAAAAAACAATCTTATCTAATCCCCCTTGGCTACGCCTCTGATGGGGTGTGTTTGCTCGGGTACATGATTGATATTTGCTTGCCATGATTACTTGTAGACGGAGCTCGTCAAAAAAAAAAAAGTTGTGATAAAACTACAAAACTCCGACACACGAGATAAAAATCATGTCTGGAAGAAAATTGCACAAATGTTACGGCTCTGTGATTTCGCTATTATTAGGATTTTTAATTAGTGACTCCTTATGTTTGTTTTTGTACAAAGTTTGGGCTATAAGCTAAAAGCCCTCAAAAAATAGTTTTTTTTGGTATACAGGAAATATCTGAAGAATATATAAAACAAAAGATTTATTTTATATATTTTTTAGATATTTTATGATTAGAATTTAGCATTATATTGAAATTTACTTATTGCAGAAACCTATTTTAAAGAGTTCAACTACAATACTATGTACTATGCTCCACCATATCTATGCCACATCCGCAAGAGGAACCTTTGGAATGGGGTGGGCTATAATTGGATGAGCTGTGGATGGGCGTAATCTGCATTTCCAGACAGTTGGGCGACTTCTTAAAGCTGCAGCAGTAAAAGAATGCAGTATTCGAAGGGAGATTACTTGCCAGGGAAGAGGGCAGGCAGGCAAGCAAAAGATGATTTGCAGTGACCTGAAATAACCCAATAAAACCGCATTACTTGGGAAAAATTGTAACTATTTGCTTGCGAAACTGATTCGTGTGCCAATATTTAGATCTCAGTTAGCTTTTCTTTTCTTTGAGAGGGCAACCTACGTCAATGGGTATTCAATGGGATTAGGCGCTGGCTTTGTATTGCCCTATTTATCACTTTTAACACTACTATATCATCAGTTTGTATTATAAAGTAACTAATTTATCGCTTATCGCAGCTCAACGGGAAAATGAATACAATACAAATACAATCGAAGCTTTTCACAAATGTATATCAGAAAGCAAATATGTTCATCACAAATAAATATAATAAAAAACAAATACAAGTACTTTATACTTATTTACTATTTATAAATCATGTCTTAGCTTTATAACTATTGTTTGCTTCATAAACAGATTCAACCATTTGCGTCATCTTACGATCGAGAAATTCAACCTCAACAAGACATTGAAATGTGGCTTCCTTTGGCATTAAACTAAACAAACTTGTAATGCCATCGAAAAGTCGGAAATATATTTACCATTAAGAACTATCAATAACAATAACTGATTTCAAAGAAACCATTTCAAGATTATCGTGCACTCTCAAGGCTATAAAACGCGAGGAAGTGTAAACAAATTGCCCTAAAAAAGTGAAATTTGCTTAGGGCGATCCATAAAAGATAAATGAGTTATTATCTCTTTTTGTATATATAATTCCTTTTGTTGTTGTTGCTTGAATTGTTTATTTAGCAATTAATGTTTGCATTGAAGGAGCCCGAGACCCCCTCCTCCAGCCCCCCATTAGATGCCTAGTTCTTTTGATACAGTTGAGAGCGTTTGTGATTTATGGACGAGACCCTCGACGAGTGCGCCGTGAATATGTGAATGCGAGTAGTATGAATATGAATAATCGCGCCGAAGGCAAACAACGAGCTCCATTGTTCTGGGCGGTAGCTAGTTGTTGCTCAATAGCTCTGACAGTTGGAATAATTAGGCAATACCCCTCCCCGGATAGCACACACAATCGGAGCCTTTTACATGGCTTACTTCATAAGGATTAATGCGCATTTAAGGTTGGGTCATCAAAAGTTTATATATTATTTTGAATTTATTTAGGTTTTTTGAAAAAGATACAAATCTTGGATAGAACATGACCAAGTGTAGAAGTCACAGTTAATATTATTTATCGATGTTCTATAGATATTTGGCAAAAGGGACGATATACAAACCGATATTTTGACTTTGTAATATCTATCATAAATCGATTAACTGATTTAAATTTAATAGGTGAAATTTACCTTTAAATCATTTGAACAAATTTTCATTTTTCGACCGCTTAATATTATATTTTCCGATATTTTAAATATTAGTGAATGAAATAAATTATATCAGACTTTTATCTGTATTTTCATTATAATTTATCGATACTCTACCGATATTTGCCAAAGGGACGATATCCAAACCAATATTTTTACTTTGCGATCGATTAACACGAATTAAATCTGTACCTCACACGATAAATGTTATAATTTGCGATATATCTAACCTTGCGATATTTTCCATACATTATTGAGAGCTATACTTAAACTGATTTATCATTTGGGATTTAGGTTTTCCATTTTAAACTCTGGAAAATTATGCTTACGCTGCACTCGTTCCTTGTACCCTTTTACCTCCCCCTTAAACCCCCAAAAATATAATAAATAAATAATAACAACAATTTTGTATCATTTTCAAAATGAAATTCAACATTTCTGCATTTTTATTTGGAGCCTTTCTGCCGCTCGTTTCAAATTAGTTAATGCATTAACAAAAATTAAGATATGCACATTTCACGTTTCATTATCCTCTCTATATATTTACAGAATTAAGTTTACACATATGGATTTGCATATGCGATAAAAAAGTTAATTAAATTTACATTGTTGTTGCTGTTTTTTTCTTATTATTTTTTTTTTTTTGTGTTTGTTTGCTGTTTTCGCTTTTATGCATAAGATAACAAGACTTAATTGACTAAAAAATAAAGGCACCTGAGTTCAAAGTGTTATTGCCAAATGTAAATATATACGGTATATAATAAAACGAAAATCAAAAATATATATAACGTTGGTGGAAATTAAAAAAACGTAATATTATTTATATGGGCGCGTGCATAAAAATGCACACTTAACGTAAAGCATTTATAATTAATTCAATTTAATTAATGGTATGTTTGTTTCAACTGCACTCCTTTTTTTTAACTTTGACTGACTGACTTCTGATGATTTATACTCACTTAAATCGTGTTTATATAATATATAATATATATATATGTAGATAAAGTACTTATATGGTCTTTGTCCCTGAATGAAATGCTCATGTCCCTACCCATTAAGCTTCGACTTTCTATTTTCTACTCTCTTTTTTTCCCCCCTAAAAAGGTTTCATTAGAATTGTTGGCTCTGGCTTTAACCCATTGTTGCTTTGCTGACTAGTGCGTTGTCTGTCCCCTCCCTCTGATTTCCCCCCCACTTTTATTGCATCTTGTAAAGCTGCGGCGGCTCCTTGCTGGCCGGCATCCCCTGATCATACTTCCCCAGCTCGGCCTCGTACAGCAGATTGTTGATCAGGTGCTTCACCACGATCTTTGACTTGGAGGTCTTCAGCTTGCGTATGGTGATGGCCACATACTCCCCGAATACGCCGTACTCGTCCACGTGATTGGAGCTCAGTCCGTTGATGGGCTTGGGGGGCGTGGCATTGCTATTGCTGCTCGAGCTGCAAGTGCTGCTGGAGGTGGCTCCAGTGGGGTCCAGCGAGGTGTTGTTGTTGTTATTGTTGTTGTGGCCATTCGATGGAGGATGATGGAGATCACGGTCACGATCACGTTTCTGTGCCATGTTACTGGAATGTTGTTGCTGGTGTTGCAGCGATTGCTGCTGCTGCTGCTGCTGCTGCTGTGGTTGCCCGTTGCAGTGGCTTAAACTGAGGCTGTGACTGTGACTAAAGTGCTGCTGCAGCGCCTGAAACGCGAGCTGGCTGTGGTTCATCTGCTGCTGCTGCTGCTGCTGCTGACTGGGATTTCCTCCTACGCCACTGCAGCCTGTCCGTTCGCCACCCGATGCCTTGATTGGCGTCAGTGTCAGGGCACCCACAACATGCTCCACGCCCATCACGCCCCCCAAGACCACGCCACTGCACTCGTCCATGGCCTTGCGCTTGCGGTGATTGTAGGTGAGGTCCGTAGGCTTATAGTAATTTATGGGCGACGGTGTGCTCGTCCGGCGATCCAGCATTCCCAGCTCCGATTCGTGCTCGATCTGCAGAAGGGGGTTGATAAAGGAAAAGGGTCGAAAAAAAATATGGATAGGGTTTAGAAAAAGGGGCTGAAAGGCATTGAACTTTGAAAAAACTAAATCGAACTTTAAATATTTATTTCTAATCTAAAAACAACAAAATAATATCGTATATATTTAGTATTAAATCATTAACTATTTATATATCACTTTTTAGCACCATTTAAATGTGGTAACCTATTTCTTTATAATGCAAAATATTTATTTATATTTATTTACTTAGTTAATGGAAAATGGTTACGCTTATTAGATTGACTATAACATTTGCGTCATGGCTGCCTTTTAGCAATTGTGCTAATTATTATTGTACTAATTGTTTTCTAAATAAAACTTGGCAAAGGAAGATATAGATTTTGATTAATTATAATTTTTGTAAAGGAAAAATAAAAACAGAAATATTTATTATATTATTTATATAATGTATATTTTTGTAAAATAACAGTAAATTGCTATTTCAACTTTTTAGAATTTAAATAATATTATACATTTCCCTATGGATTTTTAACTTTATCAACAACGATGAGTTTTTCCCTTGCCAAAGTAAATCTCAGTCATATTTCATCAGCCCTATTTATTATTATTTTGCTTAAAGATGGGCTCGTCTGTATTATACCGGAACCTGATTTGCTTTGCTTTAAATATATTTATAGTATAAAACGACTGACGAAATCAACTCGGCGTTATTTCATCAACTATTTACTAGATGGAGCATCTGTCGCGTTTTGAATACTAATTAAAATAGACAATTCTATATGAAATGTCCAAAGGGAGAAGAATTACTGATAATTCTTGAAAATTATACCTATTTTATATTTATATTATATCTCTTCTAAATCAGGTCAAGGTCATTCTATAAATATAATTTCTAAATATTATATTTCTACAAGATTTCCGCATTTAGATATGTGAAATTGATTTTTATAATATTTTTAGAAACTAGAATTTCTAAATAATATAATTCTGCATTTAGACCTATAAACCTCTGTTAGTTATAAAAACTTAGAAATGGATTTAGCAAATAGCCAAAATGATTCACAGGTGTTTAACCGCTACGCTTGCTTATCATTTATACAGAGATATCCGGATGTATCATATCTGACTTGGCAACAGGCAGTGACCTTCAGTAATTGAAAACTCCCGGTGGTCAATGTTCAAGTTGTGGGACGTCATAAATGGAAACGATAAGATACGTCATCGAATTAAGTTAGTTACAGAAATTAATTCACTGAATCCGCCTTATCAGGTAAGTGGGAATTATATATGAAATTAAAATCTTATCGCAATGTTTGTTTCTAACTTGTAACCACAAAAATCGAGGTATTTACTATAATGTAGCTTTTAAAAGGTATTTAAAATAATAATAATTACAATAATAATACGACACCCAAATATTATCTAATTACACCCACTGATCTGGCCTGACATAAAAAAAATAAGGCAAACAAATCTTAAGCCTGTCAAATTCAATTAAAGTGCACTTAACAATCAAAAAGTCAGGGGGTACTTACAATTTCTGTTTTCACATCTTCGGCACTGATATTGCAGTAATTCTCGCCATCCAAATCGGAAGAGGAACGTGTCTACGCGAGATCGAACAAAAAAATGTATAAAAAATAACACAGAATTAGTGGCGACCGTAAAATCAACAACAAATACTCGCACAATTATGGCACTGTGGAGAATTCGCCAGACAAATAATAACAAAAAACAACAATATAGTATAGTTTAATAATAATAGTGGACAGACGCGCAAAGCGAGAAACGCGAGAGAAATAGAAAACGAATTAGAATAATAATAAAAAGAAGAAAAAATAAACCTCAGACAAATACTGGATGCAGACTCGCACCCATACAGCCTCAACAAAAAAAAAAAAAGAAAAAAGTACGATCCAAGTCGAGAGCCGATGGCGATTAAATTAGTCACGGCGCGACAAGGTGGCACGGGAGGGTCAAGGGGGGTCTGGAAGCAAGGGGGGCAGCAGCCAAGCCAACATCGAAGTGGACCAACGGGTGGACAAGACCCACAGACAGACGTGAGACGACGAGTGACCAACAAAAATAATAAACACATATACAGCCAAGAAATTCAGAAGATATGAATGAAAAATCAAGGTAACGAATAGTGGGTACCCTATAATAAAGTAAATAATTAGATAACCAAATATTAATAATTTGTAAAGTGCCTTAAGTATTTAATTAGGATTTTTGTTTTAATATATTTAATTATATTTTTTTTTTTTAATTTTTATAATATTTAAATATTATTAATTGCATATATTTATCGAAATGTTACACTGGATAAGTCTAAAGAACATACCTTTAATTAAAGTTTTCTTTTTCTATAACAATATTTACTTGTTTCATTATTAATTTACTTTTAATATTTTGCAAAACAATTCTTTTAAAAGGGAAACTAACCAAGCGATCGACTTAATAGCTGGACATTAGTGCCTGGCACTTCTACAAAGCTCCCGAGGAGAAAGCTCACCTTACGGCCGAAGTTCCCCCATCAGACGGACGTGGAGCTTCTGCCCAAAAGCCCCGTACTCTTTTTCGGGAGAGAATCAAATGGAATAACGAACCGAACGAGCGGACGAGGCAAACGAGGCAATAACAAAACGCAGTCCAGCCAGTTGCTATATTGGAGATATTGCTCTTCGGGGGCGGCAGAGAGCACTGCCTGAGTTGGGGTGAACTGGGGGGCGTGGTCGGTGCAAAACGTGGGGCTGCCGATTTCTACGGCTGATGCAACACACATGTGTGCATGCACTACGGGCACACACATGGAGCGCAGGATGTGAGTGTGTTTGTGAGCTAGCAGCACAAAATCAAAGCCAGTTGACACACACACACTGGCACACTAACACCAATACTGGCTTATCAAGCGCAACGCAATAGCAACTGCCGCGCACAGTGGACAGAATAGACGAGAGATGTTGATAAGCAGTATTATTATAACTAGTATAACTATATAAAACTAAAAAATTATGAATTATAATTAAAAAAATAAACTTCAGAAAACATAGAATTTCTAAGATTTAATCTTTTAATTTTATAATTTATTTAAATTTGAAATTTATAAAAAAAAATTTTAAAATATTTATTTCATATTTTAAACTATTAAAATTCTCTAGTAAAGAAAATTACTCATACGCCACGTGCGCACCTCGTAAACCCATCTACATTTTCCCTTATATTTTCTTAACATTTTAGAACCAAATATTAAAATTTAAATTAATTTTAATAATTTTTTTGTTGAAAATCTTTATTAAAAAAAATTACTCATACGCCACGTGCACAAAAAAATTACACATACGACACGTTGACAAGGTTAAGAAAAAATACAAAAATCCGCTTTTGATTAAAACTACCATAAATAAAAAAGCCTAATACAGTTCTTTTGTCTTAGGCATTAACTTTTTAGCCCACTGTGCGCCACCGGTTGCGCCGCTGCCGTTGACGAACCGCTAGACAGCGTAGCAAAGACGACGGTTGCGGGAGCGGTGGAGGTGTCGGCGACAACAGCGCGTGTGCTGCCTGCTGCCGCAAAACAAGTCAAACCACTCGCACACACACACACTCACACCGGCGCTTCATGCAAAGCTCCAGGGGAACACAACAAAAGCAAAAACAACAAAAGTCGAGGAAAAAACAGAGAGACACATGCAAATATGTAAAGCCCAAGAGCCAAGGGAAATATGTACATATGTTTATATGGATGTATAAATGTTGCTTGTTAGCTTACCACAGCCGCCGAGGAGGATTCAACCGCTCCGGTTGCCTCCTCGAGATCCAAATCACCGGCGGTATCCATGGCATCGCCGGCAATGCTGTCCGCATCTCGTTCCCTGTCCCGCTCCCGATCCCTGGCATTGGCGGCCGCCGCAGCAGCAGCGACGGCAGCAACGGTGGCAGCAATGCGGGCGGTCAGCTCCTCGGCGTGCAGCTCTCGGTCCCGCTCCACCTGTTGCTGCTGCTGCTTGTCCGCCTTGAGCTGCTCCAGGTCCAGGCTATGCATCAGGGCGAGCTTCTCATCGGCCTCCGTTTCCGCCTCGCGATCCAGATCATGCTCCCTGTCACGGTCCTGATCCTGATCCCGCTCCGAAGCCTGCTCCGGCTCTGGCTCCTGATCATGATCCCGCTCGCCATCCAGGATAAAGCGTATGGCTTCGTAGGCAAACCACATCGGCTGATAGTGGACGCCGCGGCTGCGTCCGCTGAGCACCTTGCCATGCTCGCGATGGAAGGAACTGCGAAGCGACTTGATTTTGGAGCGGATTGAGCGGATTTCCGTGCCGTACTTGCTGCTCAGCAGCTTGAGGGCCTCGTACTTCGTCTGCTTGATGTGGTAGCCCTTGGTATTGGGGTCCCACAGGACCCGCTGACGCCGGTAGTCCTCGATGAAGTTCAGGATCGTGGAGCGCGACCATTCGATGCGGTCAGCTGGCGTCGCTGTCGCCGTCGCTGGGTGCGTGGGCGATGGCGGTAGAGGCAGCGGCAGAGGTAGCGATAGTGGCAGCGTTAGGGGCAGCGGCAGCGACTGCGCCGCGGCAGAGGCAACATCAGCGATCAATGCAATGGCATTGGAGTTGGCGTCAAGCTTGAACTGCGCTGCGGCTGCGCTGCTGGACATAATGGTGAAAGTTTCGCCCAGCGGGGGGTGTTGGTGGGGTGGTGGCTGCAGCGGTGGGTGGGTGCGAGATAGGCAGGTGGATAGAGAGAGAAAGAGAGATGGGGGGCCGCAGCAGGCTGAAAGGCGAACGCAACGCAACGCAACGGCAACGCGACGAAAAAAGCGTCCACAACACGTTGCTTTTGACTTTCGACTGGCGGCAGCAGCGGCGAGCGTTGAGCGTTGAGCGTTCGCAACGTTCAGCGCGTTCGGCGCTGTGTTGTGGCAGCGGCAAGTGCGGCGGCAGCGGCAGCGCCAGCTCAGCTGCACTTTGTGTGAGTGAGAGAGTGAGGGCTCGCTCGCTCGTTCCGTTCGTTTGGCCGTCCAAAATCAACGCAAAGGTGTGCGACTCGCCTCTCTCTCTCTTACACCCGCTGTCTCTTTTCCGGCTGTCAAAGTGTGAGTGCTGCAGCAGGCGGGCTTTTTCGTTGTCTTTTTCTTCTTCTGACTTTTTGCTTTTTCGCGCGACCTGTTGTTGCTCGCTTGATAATGCCAGGCTTTGTTGTTGTTGCTGCTGCTGCTGGCGTTTCTATTTGCTATCAGCTGTTTTATTGCATGTTGTTGGACGAGTAGGTGTTGTTGTGGTTGCCACTTGATTCCACAGAGCGAAGAGCGTTGGTGTAATCGTTGTTAATTGTTGTATTGATTCTCCAATCAGTTTTGAAGTAGTTGTTGTATTTGTTGGTGTTGTGATTAGTATGTTGTTGTTGTATTTCCTGGTTTTGGAGTTTGTTGTGTTGGTGTTTTTTTAATGTTAATAGGAATCAACTTTCTTGGTGTATCCGCTGTTGGTGTTAATTAGTTAGGACTCGCCGTTGGAGCTTTGGCTGGTATTATTTTTGGTGTAGGTAAGTGTTGGTGTCTCCATTTCGTTATTGATCTAGCTGTTGATGTTCTTCCTGGTGTTGCAATTGCATAAATATCGGTTTAAAGCTGTGGTATTATTGTTTTATGTCTTACAGAAGTTGTTTTTGTTTCCTCCTTAAGCTTTGGCCTTTGTTTTATTAGTTGCTGTGTTGATGTTGCTTTAGCTGATGTTGCTGCTGCTGCTGCTGTGGCTACTTCTGTGGCTGAGCCTGTTGCTGTTGTTATTGCTGCTGCTGCTACTGCTGCTGCTGCTCGCTCGTGCTTTTTTTTTTGTTGGTTTTGTCGCCACTTCGTCGACGTTCGTTCGTCGCTCGTCGTTCGCTGTTGAAATCACGATTTGTACTAATTTCACATATTTAAACTGTGTGTGGCATGCGCGCTGCTCCAAACGGGCCGGTTGCTGTTGCTGTTATTGGTGTTGTTGCTGCTGCTGTTGGCCGTAAGTTCGTCACTTGCTTTTGCTTTTGCTCCCCCGCTCCCGTTGCCGCTCATAACCCGCACACCTTTCCGTTCGCCTTGCTCGTGTCGCGAGTTGCGATCGTTGCTGCCTGTGCTGCTGCTGCTGTCGTCAACAGCCACACGTTGCACAGTGGGCCCAATCGGTGTGCGCATGTGGCAGCGGCTGCCAAAACGTCGGCGACCATGAGATGATGCTGGAAACACACGAGCACACACATTTGTATAGACAAACACACACCACTTACTAACATCTGGGCAAAAAGCCTATTTATAAATAGCGACACACGGCACAGTGTGGCAAATGCGACACTGTTGTTGCAAGTTTGCTAAGTGAGTGAATTAATATCTGTTAATTTTTATTATATTTTTAATGCCTAAAAACAAAAATAAACTAATTGAATAAAGTTGAAGAGACTACACTTTATAACAAAAAATTAATAAAATATTGTTTTCCTGAGAAATAAAATATATTAAAAAAAATTAATAAAAAAATTGACATTATCTACTGTTTATTTATTTATTTTTCCTTTCCCAAATATTTTCTTATATCACATATCACAAAAAAAAGTCCCCAAAACCACCTTTATCCCACTGTGCGTTTGGCAGCTAAAGCTGTAAATATTGTTGCCTCTGTCGCTGCCTGGTCCTCCCGTTCTCCCCACTGCCCCCCTAGTTCTCTTTACCTCCACTCTCGCACTTCTCTCATCAGCACGGCTGAGAAGTTGTTATCGTTGCCACTGTAGTTGTTGTTATTATTATTGCTGCTGCTGTTGGACAAAGCAAAAAAAAAAAAAATTAATAATAATAACAACAAAAAGCTTAAAAACACGGTAACAAATTTAGCGAGTCAGCAAAATAACAGAAAAAGAATCGAAAAAGGAATTGCATTTCACGGCGAATTTGGACGTTTTTCGGGCTTGCCTTGCTGTTATTCCTATTCATTATACCCTTTATCAAACGAGAGTTTTGGTTTCAGAATTAATGTCGTCTTATATCAGTATTTTTTTGAATTTGTAAAAATATGTAATTAATAAAATGTTGACTATAAAGATAAAGTTATTTGTAAACTAAACTAACTAAAAATATTTAATGTTAAGATATGTATTTCTGAATTAAAACAAAATAAAGAAATGTGTATTTCATTTCTAAATTTAATTTTATTAAAAATAAAACAAATAATAAACCAAATCGCCAGTTTAGGGTATCAATTAATTCGATCTCTCGTTAACTCTCCTGGCTGGTGGTTAATCGCCAGGTGCGAGGGAAAAGGGGCATGTGGGTGGAAGAGAAATGGAGTGATTTCGCTGTGGCTCACGTAGGCAGCGTTTTGTTTTTGCATTCATGGTAGGCATTAGCTTTAGCGGCTGCTCTCCTGCACTCTCTCTCCGTCTTTGTCTGTCTTTACCAGGGCATTGCGTGTACTAAACCACGTGCAATTTTCGCCGAATTTTGGTACCTTCAACGTACACACACACACAAGTAATAATAAACACACATATGAATGCGCATACATAATTAGAGCGACTTAAACGGACTTCTCTTATCAGTTTTGCATTGTGCCTTGCACAATCGCTATGCTCCACTCTCTCTCTCTCTCTTTGGCCCCACCAGTCTCTTTTGCCTTTTCTCACAGCTGTTTTGCATTGCGGAAGCTTTCGAGTCTGTCTGAGTCTGTCCCCCGCCTTAACGGCTCATTATCAAGCTGCGTTGCCGTTGGCGTCGCAGTCAACGTCGACCGTGGCAGCGACGTGTTTGCCGCACCTACGATAACGGTATTAAGCTGACATTTCCATGCACCTCCAGACACCAAAAACCGGTTGTACAGACAACAAAAATACCCTGCATCTCCATTGGGGGATATCTTTTACACCTAGAAAACAAAAAACAAATCAAGAATTATATATTTTTTAATATAAACATTTTTAAATTATTATAAAAATTTAATAAATAATTTATTTAAATATGAACGACTTAAAAACGAGTGCAGCAGAGTCAGAGGAGTAGCTTATGGCGATTGCTGCCGGGGAAAAAGGTGCGATTAATCACCATTAAAATCCACGAAAATAACCTGGCCTGCAGCGTGACTGTCGCACATTAGACCCGTCCAAAATTGGCCCGGACTGCGTCAGGGCAAGCGACTCGACGACGAGGCTTCTTCGTCCGCAAAGCTTTTTGCATTCAATTCTCGCTCCAAGTTGACAAATTGACGTTCAAAGTTGTTTGCGCAGCATTTCAGTTGCAATTTCGGTTGCACTGCCTGTTTTTCCTCATTTCTTACCCGCCCAGGCTTTTTAACCCCCAACGACCCACGTTCGGTTTTCCATCCGCTCCCGTTCAGGTTCCTTATTACATTATGATTCCCTACGGTACACTTCGTTTCGCCACCTTTAAATGCGACTATGCGATTGAGCTGGGAATGGACGGTTCTACACTGGAGTCCAAAAGTCAGATTACAGGAGGGTTTCAAGAAGAAAGTGGGAAGTATCCATCCAGTTTTCAACAGGATCAGGGGAATAAATCTATCATAACTCAGTCAAAAAAGCATTAATCTCAAATCGGAAAACAGTTCAATGCTAGTTTTTATCAGGTTAACTAATCTGCATACTAAATTTAAAATTTTAAGACATTCAAATTTTGGCCAAATTTTAACAATTTTAATGATGTAACCCCTTATCAAATTTCGAAAAAAATGGCCAAAAATTTTTTTTTGCAAAACATGTCTAGATCGACTCGTCTTTTAATACTGATCAAGACAATATATGATTTATAGGGTCGGAAATGCTTGTTTCGATGAGTAACAAGCTTCTGACTAAAATATTAATACACTGCAGGGGTTTAATAAGGTAAAATTATTATCAATTATTATTATTGTTAATTTGTTATATAATAACTTTTTATTTATTAACTTGGCTATTTTTTATCAATTTTTGTTAATTGTAATTGAAAAATTCATCACTGTAATGAATAAAATATTAAATTAATAGGGGAATAATTTGCAAATTCAGGATACAGCATATAAAATATAAGTTGAAATAAATAACATTATAAATTTATAATCTCAGAAGCTTTCTTTAATTTTTCTTAAATTATATTAGAATGTCTTATTTTAATAGAACCAAGTTTACAACTTAAGCTTACTGGTAATAATTTGTATTTATTTTTTTAGCTGAAACTAATAGTTTTAATAATTGTATTTCCACGCATAATATAACTTTTCGGCATCACTGTTTCTTGGCGAAATATATAAATTGCAATTTCTGTTCCTGCTGCTGCCAGCGTTATTGTTGTTGCCATTTCAGTTTGTCATTGCCATCTAAAATGCATTGAGCTGTCACATTAGAGCAGCAACTCGATACGTCAGTCCGCAGTGCCCGTGCCCCCACCCCCGCCACCTTTGGCCAAACCCCTTATAGCAAGCACCCCCTCTCCATTAGTGCAGCTCAGCATTTTACTTACAGTCAAAAGCTCTTTTTTTTTCTTATTTTTTTTACCTTTTTTTTTATCAATCAACTTTGAAGGTGTTGCTGCAGTGGAAGTTGTTGATGTTGCCGGTAGACGCGGTGTTAGTGTTGCAGTTTATGTACTACCTGGTACTTCCTTAAGAAGAAGGGATATATGTTGGAAAAGAAAGGTATATATTAAAGTATATTATTGAAATTCAGAAAAATTGTATACAAATTTTAGTTTAATTAAACATATTTTAAGCTATTTATGCTTATTTTATGGTTTTAAGACCCCCAAAAAGTATACTATGTTTTAAAAACCGGGTATTTAGTGGTCGTGACACTATATTTGTACTATTCCCACTGCAGTTGCTGCTACCGTTTGTCGTTGCGTGCACTTTGGTGGAAATTGCTGTTGATGTTGGCTATATGGAATACTTATAAGTAAAAATACATATTTTTATTCAATTTCCAACATCACGTCGGGACGTCGCCACTCCGGCATTGTCTTTTGTTATTTTTGCGATTGCCCCCTGACGCGTTCAAGTCCCTCCTTCTCCTCCTCCTCCACCCACTCCTGCTCGGTGTTTATCTGATGATGTTTTTGCTCCCCGCTTTTTTTCAATTATGCAGCGCACAATGCTTTTCTTTCCTTTTTCCTTATTTTTTCTTCCTTTTTTTGTGTTTTTTTTTTCTTTTCTTGCACCTCTTCCCCGGGGGCAACTGTTCAACTGTTTAGCCTGTCGGATTAGCCACGCAGCTGTCGCGTCGCTGGAAAAGCATTTCCCTATTTCCCCATCTCAAAGCAGCTCCTCCATAGCTACATAGTAGTCGCCTTCTAAATGCAGTGGGTAGTAGGCAGTCGGCAGTCCGGGTTGTACGTCAGTTGAATGGGTGTATGACACTGGCTTTGTGAGGAAACAATCGGGCGGGTTTACAGGAATTCAAATGAAGAGGGGTTTTAACAAGCAATTTAAAAGATCAAAGGATGTATACAAAATGAACAGCATGTATATTAGAAAAGTGAGTAACATTTTTATAAATTAGTAACTTAAATTGTCTTGTAATTTTAATTTAAAATGTGACCAGGCACTGAAATATTGAGTATGCAACATGCTTTTGACACTAAGATTTTGCAATTTAAATATTCCCTATTAAGCCTTACAATATTTTTTAATAAACATTTCCTTTATAATTTATTTTAGTCACATTTTTATTTCCCTTAAGTGTCATACACTCATATTACAGTCGCGTTTAGTTATTTACCTAGTTGCTTCAGTTTCGCCACTGATGCGTATCTGATGGCCGGCCTGCTCCGATCCAGTTCCAGTCCCAGTCCCAGTCCCAGTCCCAGTACCAGTACCAGTGGCTGTTGTCCATTCTCCGACAAACTCTGGAGGCGACTTGGCCTAGCTTGGGTGCTAACGGGAAGTCGCCGTTGTGAGTGAGTGAGCGGCCAAAGGAAGTGCATTTGAATGAATGCACATCTGATTAAGCCTAATACCCATGGACAGCCCCTGCTCGCTCTCACTCGAGTGGTCAGCACTTGGGATCTGTTTAATTAACTTTTCGCTTTTGCGCCGATTTGCGAAGGCTGCCAGTTAAAACAGAAAACGCCAACACAGAAAAAAACACGTCTGAAGGCATCTTAACAGACTTTGGAGTTTGGTTTTTGCTATTTCAATAGGCAAACTGTGTAGGGAATGCATCCTCCAAAGAAATTGTTGCTAGATGGAATGTAAA